GCTCCTTTGATATATGAACAAATTGTTTATGACTAGGTATAATGCAGGAATATCCCGAGTATGGGACATAAGACCCACAGGGCTAGGATGGGATGTGACAGAAGTTGTCAGCCACAGAGGAAGCCCAGACAGAGACAGTGAAATACTGGAAACCCCTCCCAGAAGAGCCCTAGCATGGAAATGCAGGAGCTTTTCAAAATGCAAAAACATAAAACAGCCGCAAAGCAGGCGTCAAGTCCCAAGAAGGATTTCAAGACGCAAGATAACAACTTCAGAAAAGAAAAGCAAGCCCAGTGACTGTCAGATTAATTGAACACAGTGTCAGGAAAGATTGCTTTATGAAATGCTGCTTCTTAAAGCATCACAAAGTCAAAAAGACATCAAAAACATTGACTGGCACCACAGCGGAAAGGGAAACCACAAGTGATCGATAAGCAAGTGCCAGCAGGTGGTGGTGACACATCGGTGCACGAAGCCCTGCGTGGAGCTTCAAGAGGCTAGGTAATAGGATGGGGACCAAACCATTGATCAAAATTATTTTTGCGTTGCAAAAGGCCTCGGAAGACACCACCTGGCACTCAAATCCATTTAATAAAAATGCTTCTACTATTTGCGCCTGCTTAACGCGACTGCAGGCGGCCTCTGGAAGCTTTAAGGGCTGAAGTCATTATCTATTTATTACAGAAGAAGTTGGGATCTCCTGATACCAACGATTAATTCAGGCACGTTATTAGCAGTGGGAAGTGCTGGTAAATCATATCTGGGTTGACACAGTATTTACAAACCACTTACTGCGTGTTTCCAACGGCTGTGAGTCTCGCCAGCCCCATGGCGCCGGATCCATGAGCTTTCCCAGAGCTCGGCCTTTCTCCCTGTCCTCCCTCCCCGGCGCTTTCTGGACACCGTTATTTAAGCAGCTCTCTCCCCACGCTGTGTTTGTGCCACGGGCCAGTGCCTGTGCTGGGAGCCAGGAGCCTTCTCGCGTGCCTGGGATGCGCAGGAGCTGCTCCAGCTTCCTCGTCACTCCCTCCTCATCCTGCCCTGTTCCTGGCCCAGGCAGCCCGAGCCTGGCCTGCAGGATGTGCAGAAGGGACCCAGCTTTTGCTGCTCATCTTTTATCCCAGCAAGCAGTTTCAGTTACTGCTGTGTTTGCTCCATGTGCAGGATGGTGATCAGAGCACCGCGGGGTCTGCACTGGCAGCTGGACCGTTCCTGTCCACGTACCGAGATGGCGGCAGAGCTAAATAGGAATATATCCATAGGGATATAGCCACAGGAATAAATCCGTGAGCCCAAGGAGTTTTCCCACAACGAGAAAGGAGCATGGGCATGAGCACAGAAAGCAGCACATGGAGCCATCAAGCTTACGCTGCCGCACACGGAGCATCAAGGCCTCACGTGCACGTTTCGATGACAGCCCTGGGCTGGGATGCTGCACGGCTCCGAAATAGCCTTCCGGGGATAGCTTGAGATTTGGGAACACCTGTCCCTGCCCGCCAGCCTGGCTGGGATGGAGATGAAGCTCCCTCCTTTTGCAGCACAGCTGCAGGGCTGGCTGAAGGCTGAGGAGACGCAGGTTATCCCGAATAACCAGTGACAGGGGCTGGGGGAAAGGGCCTGTCCCTCCAGCAGATACCTGCCGATAAACCAGGATTCGATCCAAGGAGCAGCAATCCTAACGGAGCCGGGAACAGAGCTCAGGCTCCGAGGTCCCGTCCTGCACAGGGACAGCCGTCCTTCCCAAAGGGATTCTGACAGGGTCACAAGGATGCGGGGGGACCAGTCGTGGTGCGGAAACGGGGTTACCTGGAAGTCTCCCAATAGCCTGAGATGGGGAGGAAGGGAGCAGTGCTCCGCACTGCCAAGCGCCTGGCAGGGCCCAGGCGAGGCTCGCTCGGAAATCTGGGATCTAATTAGAGCAGGGCTTGGATCTCATCTGTCTTCCTGCACGCCTGGGACAATGAAACACCGACTCGCCCAGCTGTTCGGGATGTGCATTTGATGCAAATAAGAAGGAAGTCTGTAAATACATCAAAAACCATACTTTATTTTATGTATAGCAATACAATTTACATATTAAATAACACTATAATAGAATGATTTGATATAGTTTTAAACGTAACAAAAAGAAGATTCAAGTTACAAAAAAATCCCAAACAAAAAGAAAAGAAAAGAAAAAAAAACAGAACAAAACAAACAAAAATCTCCCTCAAAATACTCCCTCCCACCCGGTCCCAAAACCAAACACCACATTTTTTGTTGTTGTTTTCCAAATGGATCAATGAGACAAATGTATCCAGTGACTGGCTAAGTCTAATTCCTATTGCACACACTGACAATGGAATCCAAAGAAAATCCAACTTTCACAATCACTGCCCCAAAGAAATGACATGTGTGGAAACCTTTTTGGAGTGTGATGATGGTGTCTCACTACCTCGATGCACAGAGGGGATGTATTCACATAGCCACCACAGAACTAGGAAGGAGGTGAAACTAGAAAAAAATTAGCTTTATATGAAAATATAAAATTCTATGATTATATACCATAGATACAAAGTTCCCAGAAGATGCTTATCCAAGCAACAAAATATTTACAGTTTTAATGATTCCACTATTTAAAAATGAAGGAAAAGAAAGCAGGAGTACACATGAACGCTTCGGTAGTTAGAAACCATGGCTGCTTGCTAGTTTCAAATGCTCTAACAAAACAAAAAAAGTCACTACCCCAAATGTTGGAGAGTTGTGACATTGTATAAAATTGACTGTCTCCTCTTTTGGAGACGTTTATTCTTAAAACTCAAGACATTTTTCTTGAAATTAATTATCCTCTGTAGAAAATGCTTCCCTTTGCAAAGAGTTAACAAAAACACTAAAAACAGTTTAACAGCTAG